TGATACATGAATGAACCAAGCAAACAAAGTCTTTGCTTTCATAAAAATATATACACACATATACACATATACATGTAGTACATACATGCAAATATGCATACTACATACTTTTTTTTTTTTTTGCCTTAGCATTAGGAAAGGGAAAGGCCCAAGGAATCCACCTTGCAACTATCTGCTATGTCTTTGTGGTGAAAGCTTAGTTTTCCCTTCAATTTAATTTGGTGACTGTTTTCTTTCAAATTTGAGGAAAGCCACTCTGTTGGAGAAGTCCCCGAGCCTTTCAGTTTTCCCCATGCTGAATGTGAGGTTTAAACTGGTTTTTCTTTGTAATACACTGTTTCTGAAGGCCAGAGGCATCAGCCAGTGTGGTACCATGGCCTCTCTCTCCTCCCAGGGCGCATGGGCTTTAGGCCACTCAGGTGCCAGAGGTGGTGGAAGACCCAGTCAGTTGTTCCTTGCATATATATACATATATACATATATAGCCAGCCATCGATAAATGCTCTAACGAAAATTAGAGATAAATAAGGAGATATAGAACATTGGTTTCAAAGCCCTTAAAATTGTCTTTGCTATGCCTATTTTTTTCTAAGACCTGAAGTATAATGGATCCCATAGTTTTAGAATAATGTGCTTGTGCATATTTTTTCCCCCTCAACCTTTCTTTTTTCCTTCTTTCCTGAATTCTTCTATTATTTCTTTGAGGACAGGAAAGAGTGCAGAAAGCCTGACTGGACATTCTTAGTTGAGTTGTCTTTGGACATCTAAGAGGAGGCACTTTTGACACTTGTAGTTGGATACTTAATGTGGAACATATAAGAGAGAAATAGACAGGAGAGCAGGTCATATATTTGAAAGTCCTCAGCACTAGATGGTAACTGCAGCCATGAGAAGAGGATAGGATCGTCCAAGGGGAAATATAAAGAGCAAGAAAATAGTCAAAGACAGTAGGTCTCTGGAAGACATCAGATGTTTAATGAACAAGTGAAGAAGGAGAACCAGCTAAAGAGGAGGGAGGAAAATCAAGAGAGTGTAGTGTTTCAGAAATGAGAACAAATGAGGAAGAAGTGGTCAAATGGTGTAAAATGCAGAAAATGGTTCATGGGCACTAACAACAAAGAGGATATTATTCCTTATGGTGGGACCAGTTTCAGTAGAATGGGAGAGGCAGAATGCACAGTGTATTGGGTTAAGAAGTAAAGAACTAGAGACAGACAGTATGGAAACTTCTTTTCTAAGACTTTCTCTTACTGCTAGAAAGGGCACAAGTATATTTTGTTATGCCATGTATTCTGATTTTTTGGTTTAATAGTATGGCCACCATACTCTGGGCAGCCTGTGAACCCAATGAATTAGGTGATTTATGAAGAGGGGGAGGACATGAGAGATTTCAGGGATGCTGTCTGCATTTAAGATTATAAGAATAAAGTCGGAAAAAAATGTTCCTTGATTCTTTAAAAACTGGAAATGAGTTTCTTATGATGGCAAAGAAGAGGAAACTATTTATTGATAACCTGTCATTTTATAGTGCTCAGGGCTCTATGTTTCATCTTCATAGCAGTCTTTGGATAGAGAGTATTAGCCCCAATAGCAAAAAAACAAATAGGATCAGAGAGGGTTTGCCTACCTGATCATCTAGCTGGTACGCGGTGAAGTCACTTTATGATTATTGAAACTATATTTTCTTCGTAATACCCGATGGGATGTGGCCAGCAAAAACGTCTCCCTCTGAGACAGGATATATCAGCCTGAGGTTCATGAGAGAGAGGGAGAGTAATTCATTTGGGATCACAATTCATGTGTGATTACCTAGCTAGAAGAGGGCAGGCTGCCATTTGAGAAGGAATTGATAAAACACGCAAAATGAAACAAAGTCACAACCAAAAAAGGCATCATACAAGGTTAAAATTATGTGAATAATGACGTGCATTAGTTAGTTTAATGTCTTCCAAGTGCATTTCATTTTGAATGATATATTCAGATAGCACACATGGTAAGGTATAATTGAAAAAACATGTAGGGGAATGGCTGCATTCAAAGAATAAACATACAGCTGCAAGGAGGTTAGGAGTCAAAGGGGTAAGCATATGCCCCATCCCCCAGAGATCTCATTAGTGCATGAGTGGCCATATATGTAGAGGCTAAATGAATCTCACTGTTTGCAAAGACCTGAAGTAAATGGGACAATGACAAATCAATAGTAATTAGGCCTATAGATTCTTATTGACCCAGATGTCTGAAACCAAATGCCCTGCTCACAGATGCCTTGAGAGGCAGAATGAAAAGATTTATAGACATGTGCTTCCTTAAAAAAAATCCCTTTACTTTAAGAGCAGTGTCTATTCTGAAGTGGAAAGTTGTAAGAATTAGTGCAGACTCTTAACTTCTGGCTAGAAAAGATGTTTCTCGTGGCTTGCCTTATGAATGTGATTCCTGCTGGACCAGGAGCAGAGAGAGCAAAGGGCTGGAAAGATGGGAGAGTATCACATTCATGTTCCCTGATGTCCTGGCTCTGCCTTGTATGGAGGCTTCAGAAGTTCCTTTCCTGAAGCCATAATACAATCATTCTAAAACAGGGTTTTAACTTTTTGGGTCCTTGATAAACAACTTCTGACCTAAGATACAGAGAGCTCATGGCTTCAGAATCACAAGGAGAAAGGTTTTTTTTTTTTTTTTTTTTTTTTTGAGGCGGGGTTTCGCTCTTGTTACCCAGGCTGGAGTGCAATGGCGCGATCTCGGCTCACCGCAACCTCCGCCTCCTGGGTTCAGGCAATTCTCCTGCCTCAGCCTCCCGAGTAGCTGGGATTACAGGCATGTGCCACCATGCCCAGCTAATTTTTTGTATTTTTAGTAGAGATGGGGTTTCACCATGTTGACCAGGATGGTCTCGATCTCTTGGCCTCGTGATCCACCCGCCTCGGCCTCCCAAAGTGCTGGGATTACAGGCTTGAGCCACCGCGCCCGGCCAAGGAGAAAGGTTTAAATCTGGACTCAGACATGTCTCTTCACCCCTTCAAGCATCTCCCCTGTAAAGAGATGTTAGTGATACCTCCCCCACTGGGCAGTGCTGGAAGGTCTGGTGTATGCTTAGGGAATGGCATCTGTGGTTGTTAAGCCTTTTCCCAGTAATATCTTATTCCTCCTAATATGGTCTAAGGAAGAAAATTTTTGCAGATAAGAATGAGCTATTACAGCAAGAAGCAAATAAACTGCTAGTAGGTAGGGCGATACGTCTGCCCTCACCGCCACCCTAGCACACATCACATGCACTCACACATACACATATACATGTATTCACATTTACACACTTATGCTCACACAGAGCACCTTTGCTTTTTGGTATTTTTATACTGAATATTCACATAAAATTTTTAGTAAAAGAGTTCTACTGATAAAGGGGAAATAAAGAGAGTTTAAAAATTACTGCTCTACTCATTTGCTTGTTTCCTTACACCAAGTTTAGAAAACTTTTGGCAACTTCATGGGATCCATGGGGACACTCTCCTGATCACAAACTAGAACTAGAAATCGCTGAGCCTTCCTTCTAAAACACTTTTAAAATGCAAAACATAAATAATGCCTTAGGTATCTTAGATAACCTCCTTCGGACATCGATTTCCTATACTTTTTTTTTTTTTCTGCCATTATACAAGCCATGTTTTTAACCTTTAAAGAGACTTCCAAGGGCCCCAGGGGGAAGTAGCACAGAGCCCAACTGCTGGAATACCCACTTTCTTTTGAAATCATTCATTCAGAACTTTTAGAAGGGCAGCACCTTTTAAGAGGGGAAGGCTGACTAGCTTTAATCTTTGGGCCGTGTGGTGTGATTTAACCCAGCAAGGTAGGTGTTATTAAACTATTTTATGAATGGGAAAATTGGAGGTCAGAGAGGTTAAGTCACTGGCCCATGTTACTGAGTTAAGACAGGTAGTATCAAGATCTGAACCGAGCAGAGCTCTCAAACTCGTCATCTTCACTCCACCTCTTTTCACCTGAACATGTGAAGAATGAGGGAGTTGGTCTAACTCCCTCATTTTACGCATGAAGAAACCAAGACTTAAAAAGAAGAAAAAGGCCAGGTGTGGTGGCTCATGTCTGTAATCCTAGCACTTTGGGAGGCCAAGGTGGGTGGATCACCTGAGGTCAGGAGTTCAAGACCAGCCTGGCCAACATGGTGAAACCCCATCTCTACTAAAAATACAAAAAATCAGCCAGGCAGGGAGGCTGAAGCAGGAGAATCGCTTGAATCCGGGAGGCAGGGGGTTCATGGAACCAAGATAGTGCCATTGCACTCCTGCCTGGGCAACAAGAGTGAAACTCATCTCCAAAAAAAAAAAAAAAAAAAAAAAAAAAGAAGAGAGAGAGAGAGTGAGAAAAGAGGGAAAAACATACACAATGTCAATGTCATCTGGTAGGTTTAGGTTGGAAATCAGTTCTCTGATTCTGATCCTAACTGTATTCATAATATTCAGTCACTTTCCTTAGCAAAATCCTATTCTCAGTCTGGAAACTTATATTTCTCTTCATTTATCAACTCATCATTATTATTACAATTAGGAATACTGATTTTAATAAATTATTGACATATGTACAGTATTGTACAGTTTACAAAATACTGTGCCTTCATGTACATAATCTTCTTTGATCTTCACAATAACCCTATGAGGTAAGCTGGACAGGCATTATGATATCTGTTTTTACAGTTGAAAAGAGGGTGGTTCAGAAAGTTTGAATAACATTCTCATGGCCGTACACCCACTAAGAGTAAAGCCATTCCTGGATCCAGTCTTCTGACTCCAAACCTTTGTGCTAGGACGTGGCACTTTTTTTGGTGATAGTATAGTGTGATTTAGAGTACAGTTTGCTAGTTTCTCTGAAGCTTTTAGAAGCTTGCTTACTTTCCTGGATCTGATATGGAAGTACAAATGGTTTCTTTCTATAGGATGATTCGCTCCCTGACCCTACCCCCCTTTTAAAAATAAAACTCACTTCTCTTCCAGATGCCAGAGTGTATATGCATATTTGAACAGTCACCTGGATCTGATTAAGAAGGCTCAGCCTGTGGGTTTCCTTACTGTTGATTTACATGTTTGGCCAGATTTCCATGGCAACCGGTCTCCCTTAGCAGATCTGACACTAAAGGGCATGGTAAGTAACAGCTAGTGCGTGCACGTGGGTGAAGGCAGGCCAAAGGGCTACAAAGTTTGGAAGAAGCAAAGTGAGGAAAAAGGAAAAGGAGAAAAATAAAACAGGCCAACAGTCCACTGGGTTTGTGCAGATGCATTGCTGTTGTGAAGGCGGTTGCTCTCCCTGGGATGAGCTGCTGAAAGTTCTCATTGTTTCTGAGCCAACCTTGAAAGCATTAAAAGCGGCATTTCCTATGTTCAGCTACTGCTGCCTCTTTGTCCTGTAGAGTGGCTAAAAGTCACGCCTATGTAATTTTGGCATTTACATCGGTTTGTCAAGTCATGTTTTCCAACTGCTACTTTAGGTTGCCCAGTAAATCAGTGGTAAATATTACCACCCATGGTCTTGCTGGCCACAGTCATACATCTGCCTAGGCTCTGAGTCAGGGCTGGTCAGAGTCTACACTAATATAGTTAGGATTTCAGATTAAACTTTGTTATAAGTAAGTATAATTTGTAACTTTTGTTGGAGAATAAATCCTGCTCTTAGTGGCCTTTGGAATCACTTCCTCTGTGGATATTCTAGGCCCTGCTAGAGGAGCCAGATGAACTTGGTGGGAGAACTCTCAACCACCATAGTTGAGATATAAAATAATGACATCTTTAATACCAGGAGAATCATGTTTGAGGTGTGATGAAGCAGGTTAAAGCTAGAGGAGGGGCCAGCTGAGGCCACAAATAAGAAAATAAGCCATGAATGCAGGAACCAGGAAAATGTCATAAAGCTGAGAAGGTGTGAGGTATGTTAAGGCAGAGAGTTCGGAACAGAGGCTGTAAACAAGGCAAGGCTTATGCAAAGGCAGCTGCGTAACAGTGAAGCAGGCCTGAAGGAGTCAAGAATTTAAGACTCAAAGTACTACAATTTTGTGGTTAGTTTTATTGAGATTATTTGAAATATTTTTATGATGCCAACAGGTAGACCTGAACTTTACTTTTATTACCTATGGACATAATCAACATTTTTTACTAAAAGGGAGTCATGGTGAAAAGAATAGAACATTAGACATGGCAAAGGTTGTGTTGATCTGGAGTCCATGAAGCATGCCTTAACAACAATTCTGAGCTTGGTGTCCTTGTTTATAGAGGCAGAAGAGGAATGTCCAGAGAGGGCCATGTGGAAACAGGCCACAGCTAGAAAGCCATGCTTTCACATAACCAATTCTGTGTGTAAGCAGAGGGTAGGGGAAGAACACATTTCATATGGGTACAGAAATAAGTGTCTTAATCAGAAACAAATATCTGAAGCCAAATACAGTTAGATACTTAAAATGTTGAAGAAGCTTGACAGTGTTTTAAATGACCCCGAAACAAAGCAGTGTTGCACAGTAAAATGGTCATTGCTCTGGAGGTCCTTTGTTGCTTTAGATAAAACTGACCCGGGGCCTTCCCTAGCCAACATCTGTCATATCCAACTTCAATACCCAGCATGTCAGGCTTCGTGTCTCCTAGTAGGTTTTATCCATTTCTTAAAACCAATCCTGACATTCAAGACCTAAGAATTATCATCAGAAGCTATTCTAGTAAAATTGACTCAAATGCAGAATGTAATTCCAAAGAAATCAATGGAGTGATTTGAAGAATTCTCATATCATAAGGAAGTGTGTACACACCAAAAGGAACTTCTTACATGGGGACGTGTGCCCAGTTGTATCTAAAAATCCTAGGTATTTTTACTTTGTTCAAAAGTTGTATGTTTGTTCACATACCTCATATATCACTTGATATTTCTTGGCAATGATTTCCCTATATAACTGTCTTTGGGTTAGGCTACAATGGAATAGCTATCACTCCATGAACTTGCATCACAACACTGGGAAGAGGAGATGACCTAAATAAGATGGAAGGAAGGCAATTCTGACCTAGATACTTCACTCCAAATCTCCTTCCTTCAGTTCAGTTTTAGAAAACATCAAAATAATCACCCTGAAATTCTTCTATTATCATGTTGTATCCTTTTGCTGGGACCTACAATGAAGCTTATCTCCAGCACTCACTCAGCAAATACTAGTTGGGTCCCTATTGTGTGCCAAGCACTGCTGTAGATATAAGTGAGGTACAACAATACCTACCTTTATGCAGCATGTTTAAGGTTGGGGGTGGGGGACTGCTTGATAAAATGTTAATAGCAACTGGAATTGCGGGATAATTCCCATAAAGCAAGATCTATACACAATTTCTTCTTTTGGCTAGTAAAACATTTCCCTGGACACATAGTGAGTGCTGAGTATGTACTTATTTATAATTTATAGGCAACATGGAGATAATAAAGAGGTTATTTGTTGCTTTAGATAAAACAAACATATGAAGAATTTACTATACCTAATGAATTAAATGGCAACTTTAATCTTTACTATCCATACTTTAATCTTGCTATCCATTAATACCAATATTAATATCCAAGTAAACTAAGATAAGCTCCTATTGAATCATAATTATGAGAATGTTTGTTCATCAAACAAATACAGGCTCCGTTACAGTTGGTGGGCAGTATAAGAGTGACTAGACACAATCCCAGCCCTCAGGAATACCACCATCTTTGAGAGGTAGACAGAATATATAAACAGGGAATGGAAAGGTGATTTTAAGCTCCAGATGCCCTTCTCCACCCAAGGCTCTCCAGACACATGGAAGACAATTTCCCAACCTGGTCCCAGCAGTCAGGAAAGGCTCCATACAGGAAGTAATATTGACAATGAGTGAAGCTGGGAGGGGTTTGAAGCTAAGGGAATCATAGTATGTACAGTATTCTAGAGGCAAGAGAGCATGGCATGTGAATGTCTACAATTTTGGCTCCTTGTGCCATTGTCTAATCAATGGTAGATTGCCTTTAGCATTTTATCTTAATAATAAAAAAGAAAATGTTTTCTTGGAAAACCGCTGAATATCCGTTTACTCCTGCTTCGGCAGCGTTGGATTCTCCTACTTCTCCGCTCTCCGCTCAGGTGACACTTTTCTTGCTTTGTTAAACATTTACCCATTCACTGTGGTTTTTTTTTTTTTTGAATACCTGCTATGTACAGGCCTGTGCTAAGCCCAGGTAATACAAAGAAAAAAGAAAAGTATCTGTCCTAAGTTCACATAAAAGTAGGGGAGGTAATTATTGTACGTGTGTATATATGTGTGTATATATAATCATTTTACAATGTGATCTCTGTAATAATCAGCGCAAGCGGAAGGAGATGCTCAGTAAGTTTCTGACTTTGGAATTGTTTTTATATGGAATTGGGCTAGCAAGCCCTGATACAGCCTTTTTCTGCTTCACTTGAAAATATTTTTTAAAATGCAAAAAAGTCATGAACTCATGCAGGCTTTAGGAATTAGGATGATGTTCAACAGGAAAACTAGAATTGATATTCCCAAAGAAAATCGGGGAGGATTTTCTGGTATCTAAATAAAGAATGCAACTTGTTTGATAACATAATATATGACATAAGAACAAAGTTAATGTGTGACCCACCATGGAAAGAGTTTGGACCTGCCACCTTCTGCTCCCTAGCATAAAAGCACAGGTTCTTTTAAACCTAAAAACAACGCAGCTATCCCTCTACTTTACTGCTGACGGTTGGGTTGGGTTTTTTGTTTTGTTTTTGGAAAGCAGTCAGTGAGTTTAAATTCCTGGATCCCCCTGACGACCCTTTTCCCAAAAAACTGCCAGCCCAAGAATCCACCCAAGCAGGAAGTGTGAATTAGGAGGATGGTGATGGCTTGCATTCTAAGGATCTGTTACTGGGGCCACATAGGAAAAGCCTTCGTAGTTCTGTAAACTTGGGAGGCAGGGTGTAGTTCGTAGTACTAGTTCTAGGCTTGGAAAGCCAGGCACTGCTGATCTACCTCAGTCCAACAAAGCTGCAGAAAACAAAAACTGCTATACTCTGGGAATTGGCATTTAGCTATAGATCTGAAGAGCAAATTCAAGTATGCAGTGAGTAGAGAATAAGAGCAAATCATGTGTACTGTATGCTTGGAAATACTGAACATGTATACCTGTCTAGTTAGAATAAATGTTAAAAATTGTAGTCCATGGGAAAACCATTACATACAAAGGAAAGGAAATACCATTGTGAACACTTAAAGGAAAGCCCTCTTGAAAACTATTAACTACTGAAACCAAATGAAAATGTTAGAGAATTTTGTAGTATATTCAATAGAATCTTTTTAATTTTTTTCTTCAAAAACAGGATCTTGCTCTCTGTCACTCAGGCTGGAATGCAGTGGTGCAGTGGCCTAATTGTAGCCCACTGTAACCTTGAACTTCTTAGCTCAAGCTGTCCTTCCACCTTAGCCTCCCACGTAGCTAAGACTATACAAGCACATGTCACCATGCCCAGCTAATTAAAAAAAAAATTTGTAGAGATGGGGTCCCATTGTGTTGCTAAGGCTGGTCTCAAACTCCTGGCCTCAAGCAGTCTTCCCACTTTGGTCTCCCAAAGTGTTGAGATTATAAGCATGAACCATTGTTCCTAGCCAGAATTTTTGTTTAAAGGCATATCTCTATGAAATAGGCCAGAAACTTATTAGGAAAGAATGATTAAGATGAAAGAACCAGGGAATGAGAAGAAAGGGGAAATGGCAAAGACCACAAGACAACTAAAAATTCAATCAAGGAATTAAAACCTACATTGAAAGCAATAGGGAGTATAATTTTCACTGAAGAAAATATGATCAGAGCTGTTATAAGACATAACATATGTTTTAAATTTACTCTATAGGAAAAACATTTTGAGGCCAAGAGCTATGGCTTATTTAGTTTTTTAAATCTCAACAGTTCTTAAGTCAGAAGCTGGCACCAAATAATTGCCTTATGGTCAAACAGTTATTTCAATCACTGTTCGCCAAATGAGGAATGAACAGTGACCTGTCCAAGGTCACAAAGCCAAGAAGTGGCAGAACTTGCCTTTTAGGATGCACACACCATCCTTTTAGAATGCAAACTCTGGACTTTGCAAAACGCACAGAGGACTA